CCGTACGCCGAGGACACGACCAGGGATCGTTGCTGCCACTGTCATCCCCGTCCTCTCCTACTCATACACATGACTCCCATCCTTCATTACTCTTATCTAACTCTCCCTATATATTATTCTCCATTATCTTTATCCTCTGCTATCCCTATTCAGGATACCCATCTTGTTCTAAGTCACTGGCTGAGGCGTGCATATCAGACGTCCTGGCTTTTCTAGATGCATACTTGCTGTATACTCAATGCATTGAAGGCAGAGGATCAACTGAGCAGCTAGCATTACCAGACAAAAACCAGCAGTGGTGTATGTCTTGCTGTACAGCTGTCTGCTTACATGTTTGTCATGCAGTAGTAAGTCTCATGCAATGAACATTTGGCTCTGTGCCTTCTGGTGCCTCCCCCTTTTCCCCATTCTGCATGTTACATGAGAAAAGTTAAAGCATGTTTAATAAGCCCCACCCTTTACACATGATGTTGTATGATGAAGCGGTATCACCTGTCACCACTTGTCCCCCCCAGGTCTTTGTAACAAGTCACTGCAGGAGGACAACCCAGCACTGAGATTTACACAGTTCACACATATCACTTCATTCTGGCGCTGCGTAATATTGTAGACAAGCACCATGATGTGAGCCGGTCTGCATGGATAACTCTACAACACACTAGCTGTTTTTATACATTAAGGAACACTAAGTGACTCCACAAGACATATAGTCACCTATGGGTTTCATTCCTGTGTTGTGAGTCTCAAAATTATAGGGCTGGGGTAACCAACCGTGGCACTCCAGCTGTGATGAAACGACAAATCCCATCATGCCTCTGCCTTTGGGAGTCATGCCTGCAGCTGACAGAGTCTTGCAATATATTCCACAACAGCTTCAGTGCCTCTGCTGCGTATTCCTGTTATAGGGCCATGCCAGTATGCACACAGCTCTATTTATATTCAACCTGCCTGAAGTCAGAACTGTAATGGCACATCTCTGATTGGTTGGGGGGGGAGTTACTAAAAGAAGAGAAAATGTTCCCCTAAAAAACAAGATTGGTGCTTGCACAAGATTGGATAATCAAAGTGCAAACATTATAATTTTCTTCACTGAGCTCACTCAACATTCTTTACTCCAGCAGCCATACATGATGATTAATTCTGTACTGCACTGCATCCATGTAATCACTAGAGATCACAAACTGCTGAAAGCTGGCAAATGCTGCATATCCAGTCAGTGGCATACCTGGAGGGGGCAGTGGGTTTGGGCTGCCACTAGTACAGACAATGGGTACTATAGGAGTGCACCTGCCGATCACCCAACACTTTACCACTATGCTGGTGTCCCTGCAAAACAGTTGCCCACAGCTGTGCAGAAGTACCTGCATAGCATTAATGTCTCTGCCCCAGATGCAGAGGGAAGCCCATACAGGCCCTTCCTCAGCTTTTCCATTACAAAAATGTGTATACATTATAGTTGCCCTTCTCCTCAGCTGTATGTCAAATACAGCTGAGGAGAAGGGCAACTATAATGTATACACATTTTTGTATTACATGAATACAATTAATGCATATTTTCTATTATTATTTTTTACTGAAATATTTTTATGTACATTTAGATAAAGAACATCTTCCTTATCTGGCTATTCTTAGTATTCATGGGAGGAGGGGTTCCTGCATGTGCAGGAGTTAAATCATCAGTGAGTGAACAAAAGTGGGAGACCAAATGGGGGAGCGAAGGTGCATCGCACAGTGCTGGAGAAGGACACGCTTGTAAAGTAAGTGTGCCATAATGTGCAAGAATGCTGTGTATTATGACAAAAGCCCTCCCAGCTCACAGCCGTTTACCGCCGCCTTAATAAAGGCATTCATATAAATATAAACAGAGCCTTTAGCAATCCAGCATAATAATATACATAAGTGCATACTATGTACTACTATTTTTCAGAAATGATTGAAAACAAAAGTGGAATCTTACAGGGTAATGCGTGGACACAATTATCACTTCTAGATATCTGTAAAAAATAAGTCAAGGCAAATGGACTTGCTGTATTTTTCTTGAAGACATTTCACTGGTCATCCAACCAGCTTTCTCAGTCCAGAATTGAGAAAGCTGGTTGGATGACCAGTGAAACGTCTTCAAGCAAAATACAGCAAGTCCATTTGTCTTGACTTATTTCTTACAGATATACCATGACCTGGATGAATGAGAGCCTTTACAGACATTACTTCTAGATGTTCCCTTTGGCTGTAACATAGCAAGTCTTTACTGTTTGAGTTCAGTTTTACTGTATTGAATGCATATTTATAGCAGGACCACATTACAAGGTATTCTGCAGTGTGTATATTAGGATATAAATACCAACTCTAATCAAAACTTCTTTTTTGGATGGTGTTGGATTTCCCCTTTCTTTTCAGAGTTTCCCTTACACTTCCTTTTGTGTCTTGGGGACAAGAATTGAATGCTTTCTCCCAAACGGGGACGCATTCTTCTCTTCCCTAGCCAAAATAAAAAGTTATAATAATGGTTCATTGATGCTAGGCTATAGAATACTGGGTACAGTGTGTACTTTGCACCCCCTTTCTCATCCAGCACGTTTCTGGGGAAAAAATTGCTCATCTTTCCTGTTTAGCGCACATGCAGTGTGGCCAGACAGTTCTGCTCCTCTTCTTCTTGGACGGGGGAAGGACGCACACCATAGAAGTGCACAAGATGTAACACTGATTTTGCTCAGTTCAGCATCTCCGTTGGATGGTGATATGTAGTTCAGAAAACGATATTGTAATGGAGCAGCTTCGCCCCTCCAGGCAGAGATCTTGGATGTAACGTTTGCAAGATGGAAGCAATTATACAAAGTGACTCTTGTGAAACAAGTTGACTCATGCGCTGTCTTTTTTGCTTTTTCTTTCTCTTTTTTTAGTCGATTGTTTTCAGCTGCATAAAAAAAAGGCTGAATACAAGCAGTATGTCCAGTTTAAAGAGCATGAATCTTAATAAAGACAGACTGAGCTCCGTCCAAACGTTGACAATAAATTGCTAATGCTTTATCTTATCTCCGCTGCAAGACCCATGAGTGCCTTGATACCTACTCTGAATTTGTATATATATATATAT